ATGGAGGCTGCGGGTGCTGGGTGGGACGTATGGGAGCAGCCGGGCAGGCTGGGAGGTCTCGGCTGACGGCTGCTGCTCTTCCCCTGCCAGCCCAAGATTGTGGAGGCCCTGCTGGGCTACGAGATGGTGCAGGTGGCCTGTGGCGCGTCTCACGTCCTGGCGGTGTCCAACGAGCGGGAAGTGTTTGCCTGGGGCAGGGGGGATAATGGTAAGAGGTGTCTGCTTTGCAAAACAGGGCTTGTGCTTTCCATTGCCTGTTCCCACTCCCCTCGCTGGCCCTGCTTGCCCACAGTCCTCTCCGGATGTGCCAGGCTGGGTGAGTGTGGAAGAATTGCAGCTGCTTCACTGCATACCGGGGCCCCTGTGCTTTGGATTTCACTGCCTTTCCTGGCCATAGGTCCCAGGCTGGGCTCTTGCAGCAGCTCTGTCGATGCCCTTGCTCATGGGGGTGTGCTCAGGTTTTGTGTTGCCATCAGCCGTGCCCTGCTCTGTTCCCCCTGCCAGGTCGGCTTGGGCTGGGTACCCTGGAGTGCCACAACTCCCCCCAGCAGGTCGCAGTCCCGCCAGAACACGAGGCTCAGAGGGTCATCTGTGGCATCGATTCCTCCATGGTCCTCACAGTGAAGAACCAGATTCTCGCTTGTGGGAGCAACAGGTAAAGACGCAAGGGTCTGCACTCCAGAGCTTGCCTACAGCCTCCCGGGCCTGTCCATCGGTGTCCAGACCAGGAAGAGGGAGCAAGGGGCTCTAGAAGACATCTCTGTGTGATCCTGCTCCCCAGCATATTGCTGCTGGTGGTGCAGTTATGCTGGGGCAGGATTTGTCTCCAGGGTGTCTGCGTCAGGCTGCATTCAGCCAGCTCTGAATGGTGCTTTTCCCCATGCAGGTGTAACAAGCTGGGCCTAGATCAGATCAGCTCAGCAGAGGAGCCTTCCCTGGAGGACCAGGTGGAAGAGGCCACCACGTTCTTGTGTGCCCAGTCGACCCCCTTGAACCAAGAGCCGATTGTGTGTGCGGACATCGGTACAGCGCACTCGGCTGCAGTCACAGGTGAGGGGTTTGTGCCCCGATCCCTGAGGGGGGAACCTGCATTTTCACTGTCTTCCTCCTGCCTCCGTTTCCCATGGCCTCAGAGAGGCTCAAGAGGCACCGTGCTCTTGATGTTGTTGCTCTGTGGAGCTAGATGTTCAGCATGGCAGAGAGCAATGGGCTTCAGGGGTATCAGTGCATCCTCGGGTGACACCCAGTTGTTTCTCTTGTTTCTGTTGTCAGCTTCTGGCCAGTGTTACACCTTTGGGAGCAACCAGCATGGGCAGCTGGGCACCAATTCCTGCCACAACAGCCGCGTACCCCACCTGGTCGTGGGGCTCCAGGCAATGAAGGTCACCATGGTGGCTTGTGGTGATGCTTTCACTGTGGCCATCGGAGCAGGTGAGGCTGAAGCCCCTGTGTCCTGGGCTGCAGCAGGCCCTGGCTTTCCTCTGCCTGCAGTCCATGTGGTGGCCAAGGCAGGCCTCGGAGATAGCCCAGGGCGGTACCAGGGAGATGGGAGGCCTGTTTGCTGGTGAGCTCTGTGTGCAGCAAGGCATATATATCCCTCTGCAGATGGCGAAGTGTGCACGTGGGGGAAAGGAGCCAGGGGACGCCTGGGCAGGAAGGACGAGGAAACAGGAGCGCCGAGACCGGTGCAGCTGGAGGAGACGCATCCATACCTGGTGACCTCCGTAGCCTGCTGCCACGGGAACACACTGCTGGCAGTAAAGCGTGAGTAGGGGCTTCGTTACTGTGATTCCTGCCATGAGGGCCCAGCCAGACACAATGCTTTGTGACCGGAGCTGTACTGAGTAACCCTGGCACATAAGCTCTGTATTATTCTAGTCCCTCTAGAGCTGTCGATGAATAGAAATAACCTGAAGCCCATAAAAACTCCCCTTCCACTATGCAGCAATGATGTGACACTGCTGCTTCCACTGGGCTGGGGGAGCAGAGGGACAGCAGAGGCAGTCTCGTGCACTCCCAGACAAGTGGGCTGGCCAGGGTGCGGCGGTGGGGAGCTGGTGTGCTGGCAGTCCACCAAGTATCCAAAAAGAGCAGCTCTCTAATTGATGCTGCTGAAATAGAAGCTGAGATTTGAGGCGTCGTTTTGGCTGCTGGCTTTCCATTGTGGTTTGGAAAAGATAGCGATGGTTTTGTGGTTCTTCTCTGCTCAGGCCAAAGGCAGCATCATTGCACGGTTGAAATGTGCCCATGGCGTGACCTGCCCTTCCATTGCCTGGATGTATGATGGGAGCCTGGCCCGGACTGCTGGAGGGGCCTTTCTTCCTCCTCTGCCAGGCTGATTATGGCCTCAGTGCTGGGCTGAAAGATTCCAGTCCCAGCCCACTTCAAGGAAGCTAATTACACCCCAGAGGGGAGGAGGCCCGGCTGACTGCCCCAGCACCGCGGAATCGGCCGTGGCTCCTGTTCTTCCCCTGCACGTGCCGAGCTCTCACATGATTGTGTGCTGCCACATGAAGGGGACGGGGAATGGCTGAGTCCCCAGGCTTGGGAACAAGTAGGGCATTTGTCATGGGAGTAAAAGGGTTTTGTTTCTGCAGGAAGACTGTAGGCTGCTCTCCCCTTCCGCTGCCAGAGTCACCCTGTGCTCTGTGGCAGCTGGTTTGTGGGCTTCCACCTGCAGCACTGTAAGAGCAGGGACTGAGCGCAGAGCCCCCACCATAGCCCCACCGCTGTCCCTCTGCACTATCCAGTCCAAAACTTCGACCCTCCTTCCCGGTACTGGAAGTACAAACACAGCAGCAGTGGTGTCAGGGCAGCAGCCTCGCCTGCTCCAGCACCCCTCAGTAACCAAGGTGCAAAAAGCATCAAGAGCTCTGTTAAAAAGCTAAATTCTGACTCTGGACTTTCACACAGCTCAGTCTGCCTGGAAACCTCTCCAGAGAGGACACGAGAGCTGGTGGCATGTTTGATGTCATTGCCGCTGTCGGCTCTGGCTGTGATCTGGCCTGGAGAGGGTGCTGGCACAGGCGAGCAGTGCTCCACCTTTGGGGCAGCAGTTCTGCACCACTCCGCAGTTTCCTCCCATGTGGCCAACACTGTTTTTAACCGGCTTGGGCTTCCGCCCACTTTATCGTGAGGCCATCGCTGCGCCCTTCTCTCAATCCTACTGCAAACACAGGAATAACTGGGAGAAGCCAGGCATGCTGGAGGGTGCAAGCCTCAAGAGATTGCATTTCCTCCTGCTTGGGCTCTGTGCTGAGCATTGCCTCCTGCTTGTGCCACTACTGAGGCCTTGTGGCAGCTTCTTGGGGTAGCGGGACAGGGATTGCGGTGCCCATCTGTTGGGTGTCTGGCCTGCGCAGGGCAGGGCACTGCTCCCCGTAGCTTCACTGATACGGCAGCTTACAGCTTATTCTTGGTCCTTGCCCTTTGTCTTTCAGCTGCTGTGGAAGAGTCACCTTCCCAGTGAGTTTGAGTTGAGAGGGGCCATATCCAGCCGCCCTGCAAGCCTGCCCTTGCTGCTGCCTGCTACAGCCTGGCTCGGACCTGCATCCCCGGACTTGGGAGCTCCTCAGCTGCGCTCTGAAGGCAGCGATCTGGAAACAGGGAGCTCCTAACAATGGTTCCCACGGAACCAGAGCTGGTCTCATTTATCAAATCAATGAGGGTTACTGTGAACCTCCAGTGCCCGAGAGGTGCTGCTGTGGGGCAGACGTGCCCAGAGCTCTGGTGCTGCCTTCAGGGGGTCGCGCTGGGGCTGTGCCCTTCCCCGCTGGAAGTGCCTGGGTAGAAGGGTGAGGAGCAGAGAGGTTGTTTTCCCCCATGGAAACTGTCTCTGGTTACAAAGCCCAGGCTGACAGCTTGGTGTCTGAGAGAGCTGTCAGCCTTTGCACAGCAGTGTCTGGAGTTAGGGCCCCAGGCGCTACACTGGGTGACTAAGTGCAAACCTCTTTTCTAATTACAGAAGCCTGTCCTTTCCCATCCCCCCCCCCCCCCCTTAAAACCTTTACTCCTTTTTTCTGTC